GTGCAGCAGGACGAGGGGCGTCTGGGAAGACCCCCCCCCTCCCCCCTCCCCTCCTCCGCACCTGCACGGCGGCCGGGCCGGGCGTGAGTCGTTGGAGGGGTCGCGAGGATTGCACGCCGGTGACCCGCCGCGCCACGCCACGCCACGCCGCGCCATGCCACGCCACGCAGTGCGCGAGGGCGCTTCCGAGCCCAGGCGGCCCGCGCGCCCCACAGCAAGTGCCGGTCCAGCTACGGGGCCGCTGCGGCGGAGGGTGGTGGGGAGGCGGGTGGAGGGGTCGGGCCGGTCCCTTATTTGCAGCGAGTCTTTGCCGCTCAGCCCGGCCGTTGCTACGTATACTCCCTGGCTCCGGCCCTCCGACGCCAATTACTGGGAAACGAAACCAAATAACGAGGCTAGGCCGGCCCCGGCAACAACAGGGCGGGCTCCGGCCGCGGGGGCTCCGCGGGGCCCGGCGGCGTCAGTCTCGCGGGCCTGCCCAGGCATTTCCCCACACCGCGCGCGTGGATTCCGGAGGGCTCAGCCAGAAGCTCGGCCGGCAGCTGCGGCAGCAACGGCAAGCGGCTGCAGCTGCTAAAGCCGGCAGCTTCCCTGGTGTACTGTTTCCCCACAGGGTGCGAGGGTGCAGTGCAATGGAGCTTGTTGCTGCTGGTGGGGCTCGGCCGGCTGGGTCAGCCTGCTGGGTAGGCAACGGATGTGCACCCGTGTCGTGCGGGGCTGCCTACCCCTGCATTGAAAGGGGTCCGGCCGGGTCAGCCTGCCAGGTAGGCAACGAACGGACGTGCACCTGTGTCGTGCGGGGCGGCCTACCCGTGCATCGAAAGGGGTCCGGCCGGGTCAGCCTGCTGGGTAGGCAACGGACGTGCACGCGTGTCGTGCGGGCCGGCCTACCCGTGCATTGAAAGGGGTCCGACCGGAGTTTGGCAAGCTTCTCCTCTGCGTGAGTTCAAGCACTACTAAGACGCGGAATTCCTCTCCTTTTGACCCAGATTCTATTCGCCCCATTAGCTTTCCGGACCTGATGTCATTCAAGACGTACGCATGCGTGTCCTGTGTGTTCTTGAACTGTATTCCACACACACAAAAAGTATCTATTTGTTTTAAAACATTTCAAATCTTATTACCCCTTTTCTGAAAAGTCCGTACCGCCAATGCTTCGAAATATGAACTGAACTATGTGCAAGCAAAAGTGTGCAACAAACTGCACACAGGCCCAGAGGAGTGTGTCACGTTTCCACCTTCGCTACACGCTTTTCTGTCTAGCACACACGAACTGTGTGTGTCTTTGTCAAGCACTTTTAAACGACAGAATGTCACACACGACACACTCTTTTTTCTTCTTCTTGAGAGTGAGAGTGAGTGTGTTTTGTGCGGTCACGTTTACTCCCGGAGTCCCGGAAGCGGCGCGGCGGCAGTGCGCAGCAGCATCGCACTCTGTTGGTCAGCCCGGCCCTTTGCACCGGTGGTGCACTGCCTGCACACCAACACACACACATACGCACCGCACGCACACGGTACAAGAACAACGCAACACAAACAGACAACAACGCGTCGCACACGTGTGCCCAACGCGACAGGACACACAACACGCTCACCGGACAGGTAGGGAGCGAAGGGCCGCGGAGACTTGAATGCGGGAGCGGCGGCCATAGGCATCGCGCCGCAGCGGCGGGGGGTCCAACCAAAATCTACTCCATCAAACGCAAGTAACGGACCAAACAGGTTCAACTGACGTTGCTGTCCAATTATAGGCTTCATGAACCGTACTAGCGAGCGTCTACCTGTCACTATAAAATTAATTAGTGTAGCCGACCAGAAAAAAGTAACGAAAAGCACCACAAAAGGCTTTGGTTGGAAAACAAAATACACTTCTATTATTAATGCTTTTGCTGATGATAAACGTCGGTTACTCTTCAAAAGTGACTGCTCGAAGCAAAAAGTGATTGGTTTTGGAGGAGAAGTGGCACTTTCCAAGTACCGTGTAAGTGTTAAATAGCAATGCTCAACAGACTTACCGGGCGCGCGCCGCAGGCTGCGGTAGTCCGAAAGTCGGAGCGTAGCCAAGCCCGGCGGGGAGCTGAGGCGCACTGGCACTGACACTGCACTCACTGTCACGCGCGCACGCGCTCACACACACACACACACACGCACACGAACTCACACGCGGCGGGGGTTGGACTCGGCGAGGTCCTGCCTGCACGGCCTGCGCAGGGGGGCGTGCACTGGGAGCGCCCTGGGAGCGCGCTGGTGTGCGCCGCGGCGGAGTGGCGGCGTGTCGCTCGCCTCTGCCGGGCCGGCTCTGGCCGCCGCGCGGGCCACGGGCCTCGGCCGGGGCTGCAGCCATGGGCAGGGGGCTCCCCCGGCTCCGCCCCGCCGACC